AGATGTGACCTTTGCTTTTCCTGCTCTTTCTTTCCCTTTCTAAATCTTCCTGTCTGGACTCTCTCCTGGGTTCTCTGTTTTATGCAGCATTGTACAGTCTTCAGTTCCTTTCTCTTGCAGGGTAGGTGGTGAACTCATTAAGTGGGGGAGGGGAGAGGGGATCGGGCTCCATGACAAGCTGGCTTATTAATCTGACTTTTTCTGTGCTTGCTCCCTGCCCCCAGCCCAGAGGCTGCCTCATTCCCCAGGGTTTTGAGAAGACCTGAAAGCTCTTAAAAGGCATTGGACCTACTTAACCCTGCGGGGATTCATTTTACATTTAATACAAATGCTTTTTATTCATTCAATACAGATATTTACCAAATGCCATATTTACATACATGTGCCAGACCTTACATTCATATACATTTTATTGAAGTTCGATTTGCCAACATACAGTATAACACCCAGTGCTCATCCCATCAAGTGCCTTCCTCAGTGCCCGTTACGCAGTCATCCCATCCCCCTGCCCACCTCCCCTTCCACTGTCCTTTATTCATTTCTCAGTGTTAGGAGTCTTTCATCAGACCCTACATTAACCCTAAAGATTTGGTGGTAGCCTTAGCAGAGCAAAGACCCTACTCCTGGTGGCTTGTATTCAGGTGGGGGAGATCTACTGGGGGAAAAGCCAATAAACACACAAATAAAGGCTTATCAGTGGGTGATAAGCCCTCAGAAGGACAATTTGGCGAGATAAGGTGGGTTGTGAAGACAGTGGGGGCTGGGGAGAATCTTACTTTATGGGGATGGTCTTTCCTGTGAGATAGTCAATGAGAAGTTGAGGCTGGAGCATGGCTATCAGGGAAGAACACTGGGAAAAGGAGACAGGAGGGGGGGGACATTATGACCCTACGGTGTGTTCTGGGAACAGCAGGGGCAGTGGGGAAGGTGAGAGGATTCTGGGAGGTGATAGGGTTGGGGGTGCAGAACATGCTGGATTTTGCTGGTTATCTTAAGGCATTTGTTGTGATGGCAGTGGGAAGCCAATGAAGGGTTTTGAGAAGGAAGGAGGTAGACAGCCTAGAACTCTCTGTGGAATTACAGAAAGCCCAGGACTTCCTGTGGACTTGTTCTGCAGTCATTGCCAGTGGCAGTGCCTAGTGACACGGAAGAGCAGGGGCATGACAGAGGTAGGACCTGTAAGGTGGGAACAACAAGCCTACAGTGAGTACGCAGGAGACCAGATGCCTGCCCGTTTTAAAAGTGTGTTTTAAAATGTCGATTAGGGAACAGCCGGTGGCTCAGCGGTTTAGCACCGCCTTCAGCACCGTGATCCTGGGGTCCTGGGATTGAGTCCCACATCGGGCTCCTTGCATGGAGCCTGCTTCCCCCTCTGCCTGTCTCCGCCTCTCTCTCTCTCTCTCTCTCTCCCTCTCCCTCTCCCTCTCCCTCTCTCTCTCTGTCTTTCATGAATAAATAAATAAAATCTTCAAAATAAATAAATAAAATGTCAATTAGGGGCGCCTGGGTGACTCAAGTCAGTTAAGCATATGCCTTTAGCTCAGGTCAGGTCTTGGGATCGAGCCTCATGTTGGGCTCCCTGCTCTTTTTGGGGAGCCTGCTTCTTTCCTGCTCCCCCTACTCATGCTCTCTTTTTCTATATAAAAAAATAAATTCTTAAAAATGTCAGCTAAACCCATGACAACACAGTGGGAAAGTGACATGAAAGTGCTATGTAAATCCAGAAAATTTTTAGTATCCATACTGAGCTAATGGTCAGTTATGATAGTGCTGTGCTCAGAGTACATTCTGAAATAAATGCTTTTTCTTGCATTTATTTATCTATCAAAATATTGACTACTTCTCAAATAGTAACTCAGTACTTACTGTGCTAATTGACACTGGAGATTATTGTCTTACTCTCGGTCGGTACACAGGCCACTTGGAAGGTTGGGTCATCTGTCTTTTTTTTTTTTTTTTTTAAAGATTTTATTAAAAATCTAAACGATTTTTAATCTTTCAGGTCCTGGGCTGAAGGTGGCGCTAAACCGCTGAGCCACTGGGACTGCCCCATCTGTCTTTTTTGTTTTGTTTTGTTTTTTAAAGATTTTATTTATTCGTGAGAGAGAGAGACAGAGACAGAGACACAGGCAGAGGGAGAAGCAGGCTTCTTGCAAGGACCCTGACTGGGACTCAATCCTGGGTCTCCAGGATCATGCCCTGGGCTGAAAGTGGCCCTAAACCCCTGAGCCACCTAGGCAGCCCCCCATCTGTCTTTTTGACTAGAGTTTTTGAGTACCTGTCGGGGTAGAATTGGGCCATTGGATCATTTGACTACTGATGGCAGAGCCTTGTCATTTGCCCCTGCTCTTTGGAGGGGGGCGGCCAGAATGGCTTCTTGTGTACATGAGGAGGTTCAAGACATTTGGCAGCAAGAGCTAAGTTTTAGCATGTATGGGAGTACTTGACTTACTTGCTGTAACTTACCCGATGCCCAGGTCTATTTTTTTCCTTTGTTTTTAGCAAATATGAGGTGGGAGGGGGGCGGAGAAGATTTCTCATCTGTTTTATTTCCTAAATTACTTCTAGTCTTACACCCAAAAACATCTCCAAGGAAATAATTCTGAAAAGTAGGCCTAGCGTGGATGAGGTTTCTTATCACAAAGCTCATTAGAATAACATGTAGCCTTTTTGCTCTTGAAAACAGTGGTCTCCTTTTGATGATATTTAAATGTTTAAGTTCAAAAAACAGGTTCTGACAGTTCCACATCTGAAAGCATCATTATTCTGTTCAGTATCTTCAAAAGGCATGGAGCCGAGAGGGTGGGGTGGCAGCTAAGTGGCCTGGTTATATGTCTGTGTGCTGCTGAAATCTTACAGCAGGTGGGATTCTCAGAAAGCAAATAGTTCATTCCAAGAAGTTGTTTCCCAAAAGCAACTGAGGATGGAGCACACCCTGTTATATGTTTATTTTGGTAAAAGGAAAACAGAGTTGGGTTTCTCTGGGGCCTCAAAATGTCAGGGATGATGAACACATCCATTCATAAGCTGAACTCATTCCTTTGATGGAGACCTTTGTCCTGCGTGCCTCACTCAGAGGTGAATCTCTTTTTTCAAATAAGGACTGTCCAGTTGTTCCCTTTGGGCTCACAGAACTGATTATTCAGAAATGAGACTTTCAAGCTCCGAAGCAAAGGTTGGGCATCCTCCCAGGGCTAAGCTTCTATGGTAGGCATTTCCTCACCAGTCAGCACAGGACCTTCCTAGGCTCCATCTTCATTAGGGGTATACTCTTGAGGTTGTCATTCAGCCTCCACCTCCCTGTCGTTGTGTGCATTCACTGAGGGCCATTGGGAATTAAACATTGTGGAGTTTGAGAGGCAGCCCTGCCCCCCAGGAGCCTGCAGTCTGTAATGGGGTGGTAGAGAAGTCAGAGGGCATGGCAGTGAGGGGGGCCTAGATAGCACCAGGACAGGTCTGGGGAAGGGTTGAGGGATGACAAAAAGAGGGAAGCTTGGTCAGGGGAGTCAGGGAAGCTCATGGAAGCCAAGGAGCATGGTGTCTTTCGAGAACCCTCAGTCCTGCATGGGGGCATCTCAGGTGGCCCGAGATTGTCAGGGGCCTTGTCTTGTACACCATGCTAAGGAGTGCAAAGGAAGAAACCAATTAATGATTTTTTAGCTGAAGTACACACAAGTGGACGAATTGGAAAGGTCACACTTGAAAAGATCAAGGTCATGTGGAGAATGGATTGGAGGAGAACAAGACTGGTGGCTGAGAGAGAATTTAGGAAACTATTGCTGACGTGCAGGTAAGACCAGGCGCAAATTACGATGCCAGCCCAGGAACGGAGAAGAACAGCTGGGATGTTCTCAGAGGTAGGGTCAGCAAGAAGCAATTACCAACTGGTGTGGTACCAAAGGGAGAGGAAGAATCTAGGATGCTTCCAGGTTGCTGAGAGAGGGTGGGGTTGACAATAATGCCATGTCCTGTGCTTAGTCAGGAAATTTTTTTTTCTATTTATTCATAAGAGACACAGAGAAGTTGAGACATAGGCAGAGGGAGAAGCAGGCTCCCTGTGGGGATCCCTCTGGGATCACGACCTGAGCCAAAGGCAGATGTTCCCTTAGGAATTTTAAGAAAGGATCAAATGGTCCCAGGACCTTTTAGTGCTGTTAGATAATCTGAAGCTACTACAACAAGAATAGGCACGGCTCTAAGTTGAGTCTAACCAGGGAGCTGTTTTTCTAAATAGGAGAAAAATGTAGAGAAGTCCCAATAAAATGTTGTTTGGTTTAGAAAAACAAAAGTATTAGAAGAGAATTAGGAATAGAAAAGTTCCCGATGGAGCTTCTTTAGTGTATGCTGCCCTGTGTTAGGGTGTTGCCCTTTACCACCTTGGCAGGTGGCAATAATTCCCTCCATTCTGGAAGATTAAAAGTGCAAACCATCAGCCCAGAAGGTATTTTAGCTAAGATGGTTTGGAGGTCCCCACTTCAGGGAAGTAGAGTCATGCCCGAGTTGGGGGATCCCCTGTTTGCAGTGTGAGGACTACATGCTCAGGTGGTAGCATGATCTAGTGAAGTGGACAAACAGGGACTTGGAGTGGGATGGGCCAGATGTGCTCAGAATCCAGAATTATCTCTTAGCTTATAACCTCGTCCAAATTACTGAAGCTCCTTTTTCTTCAGTTTTCCCCCAATTTTTTTTTCTTGAGGCGGGTTGCTTGTCAAACAGTGTTTATTGAATGTAAAATAATCCCAGCCGCGTGGGGAAGAATTCAAAGGAAAAAGAATAATATACATTAAATACCCACCTGAGCATTTACACTCACACATGCACACAAGCATATGTACCACATCCATATCTGAGCTCTAACAGTGACAAATCCAACACCTGCCTCCCCCTACCTGAGTGACTGCTGTTAGGAGGTGGGGCTGCAGGATGGGTTCTTTTTTTTTTTTTTTTTTTTTTTTTTTGCAGTCTTATACCTTTATTTGACAATCAGTGATTAGTTCTCATCCACATTAACAGTCTATAGATTTTTGAAAGTGGTGACAGGTACGTAGGTAACCAGCGTGTAGAGCTTGTTTGGTGAATCTTCATCCTCGTTATGTTTTCTGGACAACCGCACATGGATACGGTATGGAACATTCCTTATTCCTTTGGCCCAGACAGCTTTGTTGAGCCTGGTGTCAATGCGCACATCTGGAGTTCCCATCTCCTTCATGGCAAATTTCCAGATCTCTTGGAGTGCCCAAGGGGCACGCTTCTTGAAACCCACTCCATGGATACGTTTGTGGATGTTGATGGTGTTTTCTCTGGTCACTACCTCGTTGATGGCAGAACAGCCCTTCTTCATCTTGCCACCCTTCTTTGCGGGAGCCATTCTGCCGGGCCCTGGTTGGAAAGGAAGTGCAGGATGGGTTCTAATAGCACCCTTGTCCTTCCCTCACCCCTGACCTGCCCAAGGGAGGTAGGGTACAGAGGAGGTGGGTGGCAACTCTTCCTGGCTCTGCCACCAACACTTCTTGGCCTAGATCTCATTCAGGACCTTTTTGATGGAGCTGTAGTTGGCCTTGGGCACACGGTCAGAGGTCTTATTGGCCTGTAGCATGTGGGCCACATCCTTGGCTGTCCCATTGCCAATGAGATGACTATACTTGTCCTTGTATTCACTAGCAGGGCTCTTCACCATTGGCCCCTGCTGGGCTGCCTCCTTCTCTTGCCTCTGGGTCAGCTCCTTCAGCTTCTGTTTCTCCTCAGCCTTCTGCAGGTCCCACTTCTCCCCATTGATGGTAGGAGATCATGACATAGTGACACTCATCATCTTCCCTGAAGGAGGAGGATGTCAGGCCAGCTACTTCCACCATATCATCTTGGATGCTCCTCTCTATCTTGTTTATCAGTTGACTTTTTCTTGATCTGCCCACTGTTTTGGATAGAATCTGACACCTCTTTCTCCATCTTTTTATTTGTTGTTTCTCTTGATCCTGTAATATCTTCAAGTGGTGGCTTACTCCCAGGCCTTGTGCCAAGACTCCTGGTCACTGAGGCTGGGTTGCTTCTCCATGGAGCTCAGGATGGAGCCCAGTAGGTCCACCATCTTGGAAGCCAGTATTCCTATTTGACAAGAATGTTAGGAAGGTTAAATGTGAACCTAGGTAGAATGCCCTAAGTAGTGCCTGACCCATAGTGAGCACTCAGTAAATTGTCGATCTTTCCACATTGTTGATGTGGGACATGTCTCTATCACCACTGGATAGGAACCTTGGCTTTCTGCTTATGACCTGAATGGCACTTGGTCCCTTGGGCAGATAGCCATCTTCTTTCTCTTCTACTACCTGCAGCTGGTTTGGTCAATAGATGGAGGGGGATTTGGGGATCTTGGCATCACCTCCTCTCTCTTTTTGATCATGTCTGCAAAATGCCAGTGTGTGTGTGTGTGTGTGTGTGTGGCGCGCGCAGCGCGCGCGTGTGTGTGTGCGCGCTTTGGGATGGGAGGATTGGAATATGAGAAGGCTCATAATAATGACTGAGGGGATCCCTGGGTGGCTCAGCGGTTTAGCGCCTGCCTTCGGCCTGGGGCCTGATCCTGGAGTCCTGGGATGGAATCCCACATCGGGTTCCCTGCATGGAGCCTGCTTCTCCCTCCGCCTGTGTCTCTGCCCCCCCCCTCTGTATCTCTCATGAATAAATAAATAAACTTAAAAAAAATAATGACTGAAAGAGAGGAAAAAATAAATACAATCCAAATATATCTGTTGCTATATTATTTGTTAAAGACCTGCAAAAACCAAAAATAGAACCTAGCAAAACTGCTTTTTCAAAATATTAAACCTCTGCTCCCTAATTTTATCATGGGTTATGAGGGTCCCCCCTTCAATTCTCGTATTAAACATGATGCACGTGTGTGGCTTTAGTTTCTCTTCTCCTTTGCTGAAAAAATAAAATGCAATCTTTCTCTCTCTCTCTCTTTTTTTTTTTTAAGATTTCATGTATTTATTCATGAGAGACACACAGAGAGAGGCAGAGGGAGAAGCAGGCTCCATGCAGGGAGCCTGATGTGGGACTGGATCCCTACACTCCGGGGTCACGCCCTGAGCTGAAGGCAGCCGCTCAACCCCTGAGCCACCCAGGCGTTCCCTCCCTCTTTTTTTTTTTTCTAAGAGTGAAGTTTATCATGTTTGTGTCATTTCAGATTCAGTGGAGAAAATCAGATTTACCTGAAAATGATAAGACATCAGTAGTTTTGTTTTTGATACAGGAGCCTGAAAATAAGCTAGAACAGCTTAGAGAACACAAATCAGCACTGTACCACAAAGACCATGTGAAAAAAAAAGGGTTGAAAGAGTTTACTAATATGTGTGTCAAATTTATACCATATTGCATGGTGCCATTGGCAATGTTTTTCTCGATGTCAAAATATTACAGAAGTGTGCCATAGGCAGGTGCTCCATCTGTACATTCAGATTTTTCTGATAGGAGCCGGTTTCTGACTGTTTAGTAGAATCTAGAGTCCTCTCGGGCTGTCTGCAGTCTGTGTCTTCGCCCTCTGTGGCCTCACTCAGTGCTGCCTGGGCATTCGTTCACGGGTTCCTTTGTACCCCAGCTGTGCTCTCTGTGGTTTGGGAAGGCAAGACCACACCTGCCATCCTTGTCTTCAGGGAGCTTAGAGTTGGGCTTTTCCGGCCTCCCTGCCATGGCCTGAGCAGCTTTCACGCCTTTTTTTTCCATTCTCTTCTTTGATGAGAATGATTTTATTGGCCTTTGACTCAGCTTCTATAGGGAGTTTCTTAGTATCTTGCAGTACTTTCCCGAGAGGAGTCTTCATGCTGGGTTCCACCTCTCTCTTAGTACTGCAAGAACAGATACTGCAAACTCTGAGTGCCAAGTGCTTCTTTGAAAAGTCCATCAAGGCTCATATTTTTCCTGTGTTCGCTGTCAGTGGCCCCTTGATGCTCATAGCCTTTTAATGTGATGTCCTCAGTTTTCCTTTGACTTCCTTCCTCTGTCAAGAGGGCAGCCAACTGATGATGAGGGTTTGGGGATACGCCTGATGTCAAGGAAGTGCCTGAAGTAATTCTCCTTCACTTCCTGTCCAGGCTGGAGTGCCTCAGCGGTGCATGTGTTGGTGGTCCAGAACACCCACACCCCAGCTGCAGGCAGGGACAGCTTCCCTCTGGTCAAGAGACTTTTTCTTTCTTTCTTTCTTTCTTTCTTTCTTTCGTTCTTTCGTTCTTTCGTTCTTTCGTTCTTTCGTTCTTTCGTTCTTTCTTTCGTTCTTTCGTTCTTTCGTTCTTTTCTTTCTTTTCTTGATTTTACTTATTCATGAGAGGCAGAGAGAGAGAGAGAGAGAGAGAGGGGCAGAAACATAGGCAGAGGGAGAAGTAGGCTCCCTGTGGGGGGCCCAATGCAGGACTTGATCCCAGGACCCTGGGATCACCCCTGAGCGGAAGACAGCTGCTCAACCACTGAGCCACCCAGGCATCCCATAGGGACTGTTATTTTCAAGTCAGTGTTCAGATAAAAATGCAGAATAAGATCTGGAGAAAACTTTACCCTTTGGTTGTCCTCTTACCCTCTTTTGTCCTAAAGACTGTTCCCTGCTGTACTTCCTTCTTATTTTTGTGTGATCATGTTGATATTTTCTCTATATGTAAGTGGATAGTTGTCACTGAGTAAATATGAGATGAGATCATTGCTTCTCAGATTTGGAAGAACCTGCCCTTGCTGAGGGGCTGAGGCTGGAGTTCCTTCTCAATCCTGCCTGTGAATGAATGGGCAGCCCCGCCCTCTTTGCCTTCCTCCACTGATGGAGATCTCACTGTCTCCCAGAACAGCCTAATTTTATCATTAGGCATCTCTAACTGTTAGAAGACTTTCCCGGCCTTAGATTGAATTTGCGTCCCTGGCCCATTTAGTCATTATTCCTTGTTCTAACCTTTGGAGCCACGCAGAGAAAGTCTAATCCCTTTTCACATGGCAGCCCTTCTGGTATTTATGTTTGGAGACAGTTTATCCTGTTCTCAGCCTTGTACTCCTCCCCTGTACCCAGTGCCTGCTTTTAGCTTCTCGGTCCCGAAATCATCCTGTCTGAGCAAGCCAGACTCTTGCTGATCTGCCCCAAGGAGAGGGGGCTCCCTAACTTATCAGGGAGAGGGATCTAACACACCAATCAGCAGGGTTCATTTGGCTAATGTGATTACTGGGCTCTTTTGTCCTTGGGACTCCCTACATGTTCCCCTGAGGCTGTGTGCTTGGGGAGGAAGACGCACTTCTGAAATAGTTGGTAGCTGTTCTTGGTTTCAGGGGAGTCTACAATGTTACTGCCCTGCTGAATCTGGATGTATAATTCCCAGAGATCATTGTGCTCATTGACCATCCTCTGTCTCACGGTGAGCTTGTTATCAGCTATGATGCCCCGACTCTTTTTTTTTTCATTAAAAAACAAGATTTGCAAAAACAAAACAAAACACACAAAAAAACAAGATTTGCTTCTGTGCCTTAGCCACCGTGGAGTCAAACAGTCGGTTTCTTCAGGGCCTTTGATTCTCTCTGTTAAGCTGAATTTTGTTAGGCATGACCCATCATCCAGTCTGGCCCCTAAACTCTCAACACATTGCCTGTGTTTCCTTGGTTTCTATGGTTTTAGTGATTCAGAGCACAGGCTTCAGGGTATAAATCCCATGTCTATCACCTACTAGGTGTATGGTTTGGGGCAAGGGCATAGTGAAGAATCTTCTGGAGCAATTGACAGAACAGAACAGGGAATGGGGTAAAATGGTGAGCAAAACCCAATATAGCCCTCGTTTTCATGTCTCTTGCAGTCTCATAGAGGAGGCGGACATTAATTTAAAATAAAAAATATAGCTCCTGTGGAGGAAGCTGAAAGAGGGTCTAGGGAGATGTGGCCGGGGTGTCTGGTGGGCCTTGGGATTGGATCTATGTCACTGCCTGGCAGATATGGTCTTTGACTGTGTGGCTTAGGTCTTTGGCAGCACTGGGTCCAGATCAAAGCATGGTGGTGATAGTCTGGCTCTGGCAGGTGACAATCCAAGGTGTCTGAGGTCTCAGGGATAGTCTCAGAGGGACAAGCGTTTATAAGAGGGGAGCAGCTGTGAAGAGCGTGGCTGGGCAGCTGAGTCCTCAGGTGCCATTTAATTTTTTTATAAGGATTTTATTTATTTATTCATGAGAGACACACACAGAGAGGCAGAGACATAGGCAGGGGGAGAAGCAGGCTCCCTGCAGGGACCTCAATGTGGGACTCCATCCTGAGATTCTCAGATCGGGCCCTCAGCTGAAGGCAGAGGCCCAACCACTGAGCCACCCAGGCGTCCCTCAGGTGGTGCTTATTAAGGAATGTTTTAAATGGGGCTTTAACTT